AAGAAGAACTGGTTTCAGCGGCAGGAATGCAGACCAGAGGCACCAGAGTGAAAGCACTGAACTTCCCAGGGTCTGGAGATACTAAAAACTTTTGGACAGGGTTGGGTTTCAGGTTTCTTTTGTGGGGGGGAGGGAGCCAAAAGCTAATTCTGGCTAGAGCACTGTGGCCATTTCCCGATTTTCCCCCAACTTTTCCAATATTTGGCCAATAGTGGAATCCTTAAAGCCCCGGCTACTGGAGTCATCTGCATATGGGAGGGAAAAAAAAGTTGTTTCTGGTTCTTATTTTGGGGAGAAAAGTTTGGAAACATGAACCTTAGAATCTCAATTACTCTAGAAGCTGATAAAAGTCACCCAAGTTTCCTTCTTCTCTTGTCTATTATCAAGCTGCGTCCTTTTGCCCCTGTGAATGTGCAGCACCAGGCACAACAGGACCCATCACATTGCAGGAACGTAAAGCACAATCACTGTGTGCTTTCATGGGAAGGCCCCCGGCGGGGGACACGGAACAGACATCTCAGGGAAGGGGGCTTCTGCGCCCCCCCAGCCTCCCAAAAGCAGCCGAGGTTTCTATGGCAAGATGCGCAGAGCCGGCAGCTGGGCTGTTGCTCAAGGGCAGGAAGCACATGCGAAGGTTTCGGTGCCAGCAGGACAGCACGGGGTGATTATTCACTGGGATTGAGCAACAGCCATGGAGGAATCATCTGGGGAAAGGAGTTGGAGCCCCGATCCTCTGAGGAGTTTGGCGCTGAGTCAGGCCCGGCTCCTCCCAAGCCCTGCTTCACCCACTCTCCCTGGGGCTCTGTATCACTCCGTCACCCTTTTTGCAAGACGAGGGTGGGAGGTGTTGTGCCCAGTTTTCCCGGGATGCAGCGGTTGCTGGGTGATATCTTTTGTTGTCTTTCAGGCACAAAGCACCCCGTCATTTCACAGGCATGCTCGGGGAGGCGAGGAGAGGCGAGACAGTCAGCCTGGCATTCCAGCACAGGGGCCGTGTCTCTCTCAGGCCCATGCTCAGACCATCGCTTCCTTCCCGCATCCCTGGCCAGGCTCAGGACAAGCCTGCTGACCCTGCAAGTGCTCTCAAAGCTGAATCTCCCCCACCAGGCTCG